CCTGGCCCTGAAGGAGAGGGCCAGCAGGACCACCCCCAGGATGATGAAGACCCCTCCCAACGCCACTGCCAGGCCACAGAGGACGTTCTCCAGGAGCTTGGAGGCGATGGGGTCCTTGGGGACTGCAAGGGAAGCAGGGGGGAGGGGAGGGTTAGTCGGGGAGGGGGGTCTTCGGCCGGAAGCCTGGGAAGGGAGGAGGGAGGGGTGCAGCTCACCCCAATAGGCCATGGTGTCGAATTTGCCCCCCAGGCCCTTCACGGTGCAGCTGTAGATGTCGTCTGCCTGGGGGGTCACCTCCAGGTAGGAGAAGATCTGGAAGTCCAGCACTTGGACGGGGTAGGTCGGGGTGGAGAAGACGCCCTGGGTCAGCTCCTGGTCCTGCAGGGCCCACCTGATTCTGGCCACGGGTGGGAAGATGTTCCTGACGGAGCAGACCAGGACGTTGGGCTGGCCCAGCACCAGGGGCTGCAGGGTGAAGATCTCCACTTGAGGGATTCCTGCGGGGGGGAAAATTCCTGTGTGAATTCCCAGGGTGGATTCTTGGCTTCTTTCCAAAGGGGCAAATAATCAGGGCTCGGCGTCACAAAGACCAGGAGAGGCCCCCAAAGTCTGGAATAGACCTCATCCGGGCTCGAAAAGGTCTTCGGGCACAACTTAGCACCTGCTTGGGCAGGGGGTTGGGCTAGATGACCTCCGAGGTCCCTTCCAACTCTGCTATTCCCTTATTGTGTTTATCCTGTACCGGCTCAGGCCTTCAGGATGTCCAGCCAGACCCTCCCTCAGGTCCTTCCCCACCAAAGAGGTGTGTGTGTGTGTGTGTGTGTGTGTGTGTGTGTGTGTGTGTCAGTGGGTCTCTGCAAGGGAGGTGCCCCCTCCAATTAGTGGGCTTTCCTCCCGAGACAGATTGCATGCCAGGGGTCTTCAAACTTGGCCCTTTGGTGACGTGTGGACTTCAACTCACAGAATTCCTCAGCCAGCCTCCATTTTGTTTGTTAGATTTAAGACAGGGGGTCTTCAAACGTGGCCCTTTTATGACGTGTGGACTTCAACTCCCAGAATTCCTCAGCCAGCTTCCATTTTGTTTGTTAGATTTAAGACAGGGATCTTCAAACCTGGCCCTTTTGTGGACTTCAACTCCCAGAATTCCTCAGCCAGGCACGCTGATGAAAGGGCCAAGTTTGAAGACCCCTGCTGTATGCCATCCCCATTAGGGTCCTTTGGGTGTTAACCTGCCATTTTAATTGGGATGGACACGGAACGCCCCCTTGCCGCTGCGGAGTTTGCACAGCGTTTTCACCTTTCCTGTTGATTTTGCTCTCCACATAGGCTTTATTCCAATTCTATTGGTGTTTTTTTTTAGTGTGCATTAGTGTAAACTGGCCAGTGGCCCTTGGTAGTGGCACCGATGAACAAATACATAAAATAAAAGGAAGCAGCCTTCAGAGCCAGGGCTGTCCGACCTGGGCCACCATCAATTCCCAGAACGGCATGGCTGGCTGGGGAATTCTGGGAGTTGAAGTCCACCGGTCTTAAAATGGCCCAGGTTTAGAATAGGATAGGATAGGATAGGATAGAAGAATAAAATACAGAATGTAATAATAATGTAATGTAATGTAATGTAATATAATTATAATATAATAATATAATATAATATAATATAATAATAATATAATAATATAATATAATATAATATAATATAATATAATATAATATAATATAATATAATATAATATAATATAATATAATATAATATAATATAATATAATAATATATAATAATACAATACAATACAATACAATATAATATAATAATATAATAATATAATATTAGGAGCAGGGTGCCTAAATTTAAAGAGCCATCAACGAGTGCGACGGAAAGAACACAGCAATTAACTACAGGGGGAGGGAGCTGAATAGACCAT